AAACATATCCATGTAAAAACGTAAAAAAATTACGGAAACAAAAATTACCATGAAAATTTTATCCGTATTTATTTATCCTTTAATTTACAGAAATTCCTTCAATTAACATAAATTCCATTTGGTAAATTTTGTTTCCTGAGCATGAAGGTGATAAAAATTTCATTGAACGAACCATTGACTTTATACGTGTGCATTAATGACTTTATTTACTGTCCGCTTCCACCGAAGTGATATCGCAGGAAATCTTTAAACGTAACCTCTGTTCGCTAATATAAGAATCGAGAGCAAGGTATCACAAACCGCTACTCGACGGTGGTTGGAGGCTTTCAGATGTGAGTTTGCGGTATTATCAATTTGCAGGTATGTAGACGCTGTCATAGAGACAAACCGACTTACACTGGCCAACCGGTTATACTATCCAGATTCAAGCGTGCTTGATTACCAGATACTACCTTTTCACACACGCAGCGTTAAAACATATTTTTACACATTTATGAAAATACTTACAATCTGATTACCGTATGATGAATAACAATAAACTTTATAGATCTTATAAATAATGGAAATTAGATATACATGTCAATTAATATACCAAACGGTACAAAATATGATTCTTCATATTATGGTTAATATATTGAAATGAGTACTTTAACATGATAATTATTAGGAATGATTATATATGTATACGATTACTTATCGGTACCGATAACAGAATTACAGAAGGGAATAAAACATTATATCCCTAATATTCACGAAACCTCCTGGTCATTCCACCATTTATTCCGTAAAATAACAGAATTAAGTCCATTATAGAAGGGAATAAAACATTGTTCCCTAAATGTCACGGAAATTTCCTGTTTAATATTGAATATTCCACTGAAATAGATAAAACACGTAATTTGAAGAAATAATTTATACTATTAACACAATTTCTCCAAAAAAGTCATCAATTGACAAAAAAAGGTGCTAAACTACTGAATTCGCTCACATTAAAAATGGATATTTTTTACAGTGTGGGGTTACCCAGCCCATACCTAATACATATTAGCCAACTAGACTGAAACAATGGCCATTTTATAATGTATGTTAATCATTTCAGATTACTGTGTAGCAATGTCAAAGGACAAGAACGTGGCCATTAATCAAGCTCTTCACAACAAATTAACCACGTACAGATATAAGGCGAGGTGTAGGGCAACAAGTCCTGAATACTGATCATTGACAGTGCTTATCTAGATGAAATTATGGATGACGAAACCCCCGTGCTTATTGAAGGAGTCAAGTCGCTAACTAACTCAATATTATCCAGTCTTCGACAATGCAAACAGAAACGATTGATGTTTCAGTCAAAATGAAAATATTAACATTGGCACTTGAATTGCGTGTAGAATGCTTCGGGTACCATTTGCATTAAGGGACTCGATGAAGGAGACTTAATATATCCCACGTAGAAGAATATCACCTTTTAAATTCAGACCCTTCGCGTATTTCGTCAAACATAACTGATTATAAATTACAGTATAATAGAAACGATTGAATGTAAATCAGGTTATATATATTCATAATACATTATTATTTGTTGCGATCTATTTGTGTCCATTACTGGGTGCCACAGAATAGAGATTTAGCTCTTTCTGGGTTGATTGCTTATTATATTCAAATACTAGATTGGTGGGGAAAACCCGTTCTTATTTAATCAAGATGCTGAGTTGGTGGAGAGATTTAAGTCCAAGAGTAGCGGAAAGATATCAGTAGAATATACCACAAGTTCTAAATACCGATTATTGATAGTGCTTTTATTGCTGGGTTTGTGGGGGAAACACCGGATTGTTTAGTTAAAGTGCTGGATGGTGGGGGATACCCTGTGATTATTTAATAAATATACTGGGTTGGCGGGGAACCCCGGGCTTGTTTAGTTAAAATATTGGGTTGGTGGGGAAATCCCGGGCCTGTTTAGTTAAAATACTGGGTTGTTGAGGAAAATAAATTTATCTTTAAATTGAATCCGACCTCTGTTTTATTGTCTCTGAAACATTTCCATCGCGGCGCCCTAACCTAACCAGGCGGTGTGGTGTGTTTCATTGACTTGAAGACCGTGATAAAAGTGACCGTAAATATAAAAGTAAATATAAAAGTAAACATAATCAATCGCTGTTTTAATGAAATGCAAATATGCTTGTTTTTGTTCAGTTAATATCGATGTGATTCATGATGTCATAAATCAACCTCTTCTATGTACCAGTTTGCATACATGAAATTAAAGGGAGTAAAATGAGATTTAACCTACGCCCTCCTCTTATATCGAATTCCAACTGTCAAATGTACGTCAAAGTGTTCACCGGAAAATCACAGAGAACTTTCGAAATCAACAACGGGATTGGACCACTTGCCCCTAGTCAACGAATAACTGAGCCACGGCGGCTCCCATTTTTTAAAGTATCAAATATATCAAGTATCATCAAGTCTATAATACCCGCCCTTGTCTTCTGCCCTGATTGGGTTAACAAAGACGGACATACGCCACACACAAGGCAGATGACTCGAATACCAACCAATCATTCAGAGTCCACGGAGACGGGAAAGTCGGGAGAAAATTTTGAAACTTTAACTGCCGCAAACCCGTTTTCCTGGCTGGTACTATGAGAGAGAGAGAGAGAGAGAGAGGGAGATTTCGGGACTAACATGGTTTAATTTTATGTAAGGGATTCGCTTAAGGATCTTTAGAAGTGGGAGGTAACCGCAAAACCCGGGGAAAACTTATGAGGTTGGACACTACGTCTTGTCACGTACAAGCGGGGAATCGAAACCATGCCATTTGACTCAATGACAGACCTTATGATCTAACGCGCTCGCGTTAACCATTCGGTCACGCAACCCCAAGCAATATTTGGAGAATTAATCTCTCAACTAAATATCCGCTTCAACCACAAGGATATTAAAGATACATTGTCACAAATGTATTTATCAGGTGGTTATTTCCAGTAACAGTATGACATGATATATGAAAAGTTTAGACGCCCAATCTTACTAGGAAACTACTCGATTACCGTATCATCTCAATGGAAGCGGACGTAAATTAACCTTGATATTATATCAAGTATTATAATATCAAGGGAGTCGCGGTGGCTCAGTGAGTAACGTCTATCATAGAGTCAATTGGCGTGGATTCGGTTCACGCATGTACGTGACTAATACCCCGTTCAGACGCTTATTTTTAAACCAGTTCAAAATCGCCGGGGTTTTCAAGACAGCGTCGTGTTGCGTTCACACGTACTATAAGTCAAACCTGTTTAACTATTCTGACCTCTTCGGTCGGAGGTTAGAGTTAACTATGCATGCGTACATACCATTTCCTGGTAGAATATGTAAACATCCTGTGAAAAAAAATCCGCGAAATTTGTTTCTCTTACTCTTGGATAGTTTATACACATTTCCTAGAAATGAATACTAATGCTTTGAGACATAGAATTAAACAGTTTAGACAACGACAGAGTCAACAAAGGTACTTCTTTCTGATGCTAATGAGTGTCACTTCTGTGATATTCATGCCAACCAACAGGAGAATTATCAGAATATGGTCACGGTATCACAGTGGCAATTGGTGGAATCACGCATACAGGTTTGGTTTGATATATTCATATATATTGTTTTAAAATTTATAATCATTATAATGTAGTCAAATATGTACACGGACAAGGTGTATAAAACAAATATTAACCAAGGGGTCATCAATTAAATATTTATAGAAAATATAACGTCCCCCCCCCCCCAAAAAAAACAACCTAAAAAAACAAAACAATCTTCACACAAATAGGCCTGTGCTATTATATGTGCCATATAGACAATTTTTAATTTCGAATAATAATAGTTGCATGCTTAAAAGAGCTAAATTGTTAATATTTGGGATCTAGAAATTGACACAAATGGGTCGCAACACATAATTTCTAATTAGTTATATTCGTCGAAATACTCTAGATGTCTAAATCGAATGGCAATGTCTAGCAACTGGTTATTCCAGTCTACACTGATAGTATTTATTGTGCATGCTCTCCAGATAAGAATATGACTTGTGGGAATATGTCTAGCCTCGTTCTTCTAGTCCCTTGTTACAAATGACACTGAAATGCATTACACAATTCGTGTACCAATGGTTAAATGTTTGTTTTGTCTCAAATATTGGATATCAGAAACCCATCTTTTCCCCGTTAAGATCACAAGATCAATGTTGATTGAAATTGACAAATACTTTGTGTTTTCAATGTCGCAGATTTTGGATGATATTGACTACTTTAAGTTTAATTATTTACCTAATCTAATTCCTTTACATTTTATTTTCAGCTTTTATGATGATATACAGTATTTGGAAAACTTCAGAATGTCAAAATGTACATTTGAATATCTGTGCAGAATTTTGAGACCATTTCTTGAGAAACAAGTAACAAGTATGAGGGAACCAATATCTGTTGAGCGACAGGTAGGCTATTTTGCATTTTATGATCGCTGTATCATACACAGACAATGGACACCTGACCCAAAAACAAAAGACATTTAATTATAAGCTAAGTAGTTCACGCATGACGGTAGAAAATTCCTTTGGTCGCCTAAAAGGTCGCTGGCGCTGCTTATTAAAGCGATTGGATATGAATGTTGACAAGGTCCCCAATATTATTATGACCTGTTGCATACTTCATAACATATGCGAACAAGCAAAAGACCCATTTAGGGTTGAATGGCTAGAGGATGTAGCAAAGGAAGAAAACCAAATGCCTCAGCCAAATCAAAGTAACGAAGAGGCAATCAATGCAGACTGCACTAACATTAGAAATATCCTGGCTGAATACTTCCAGGAATAATTTAACCTTACAAAACAAATAATTAAGAAAGTAATAATTGGCCATACTGTTACATACACTCACTACAAAGAATTTCTATGTGTATATGCCATCTTTTGTTTACTTTTATTGTTTCATTTTGTGTGTTTGCAGAAAACTAAAAAATGGTCAAACTAAATTGGTTTATTTTCATAATAAAAATCATACAACAGAAAAATAACTGATAATCTTATAACACAGTGGGTCTATTATAACTATATATGTGATCAGCTCTGGCCAAATGGTTGCTATGGAGTTCAATTTGTTTCCAAAATTTTCAATATCTTCTTTCTTAAAAGTAATATTATGGTACATTCAAATTTAAATATTCCAAGCATATTTCTAAGTCACATACTAATTTAAAGGTATTTGGATACAGAATTTAAATTGACACCTTTTGGCATCTTGATTTTTGATCCATGCATCTCATTAAGCCAGAGTTGGATTATATAATAAGAGGTCCAATTGTCATCTTTGTTGTCCATCATTGAAGAAGTGTATGTAATTAAAAATATACAGTGGACTCTTTCACTTTCAACATTGTACAGGACCGATACAATGCCGGATTATACACCATGACGGAATACTTAATTGTCTCAAAACCGCAAGTATTATTGTACCTCGAATACCAAAGTATTATTTTAATCCACCTTCGAATACCCAGAACTTAAAAATATGATAAACCTTTCTGTACATTTGAAACTTTATTATATAAAATTATTATGTTTTTACTTTGGGTGCGTACAAAACACTTGTGCGTCGTTATGAACAAAATATTATTATGATAGTGATTCTTCATCTCAGCAATTTATATTTAATGTTGCTGTATTTGACGTGAAAAAATCAAATGAAATACCAAGCACTCTCTTACAAGAAATTATAAAATTATCAAGGTTTTATTAACAAAGACTGACACATACTTTAAGCTCACCGATAATTGATTGCTTGTCTGTTAACACCCACTGATTGAAGGCCGGATTATCCAATGTTAATTCAACAGAAATCGTTTAACGGGGGTCCCCAGATTGGTCTAATAATTCGGAATATTCCGAGTCCACTGTACAAGCCTACACTATAAAGTTATTGATCAATTTTTAATTTATGTCTTTCAATTAATGTATTAAATAAAAGAGAATTTACCATTTTTGAAAACATAACAGACTGTTTTGTTCTTATTAGGGGCTTATCAATTGACTTACAAAGAAGAAAACACCCACCTCATACCGTTTCGCATTATTTGATAACGATAAGAAGCCAAGTCAAAACTTTGCTTTAGATATAAACAAGGATTGTCCTGTGTATTCCCAGTTCAATTGCTAAATGCCATTAAAACAATTAATCTCATACTGGTAATTTAAATTCATAAAAACTGAAATCACATAAAACGTGTTACAACTACAGTTAACTTTCACAACCAAGTACATATATCAGCTTCATGACACATTTGATAATGATATGGATATTAATAATTAAAACATGGAAATAAATTTATTAAAACTTGAGCCATGGTAAAATGGAATGACAAATAAAATTCATGTATTTGTAGAAACAAAAATAAACTGTTATCAATGACAATAATTGCGCTACATGTCAGATATTTTGGCACAAAATGGTATATCTTGAAAATAATATGATTCAGCTTCATGATACATTAAGTTAAATGATATGGATATTAATAATTAAAACATGGAAATTAATTTATTAAAACTCTAGTCTTGGCACACTGGAATGATAAATAAAACTATGTATTTCTACAAACAAAAATTAACTGTTATCAATGAAAATAAATGCTCTACATAGCAGAACTTTTGGCACAAAATGATAGGTCTTGAAAATAATATGGTTTTATAAATTTGTATATGTGTGTCCATTAGCTCCTTGTAAAAATTGTCCATTTTGTTGTTGAGAAAATTGATGCTGCTGAAATCCCTGATTGGCAAACAAACTCCATAATCTTAATTCATGTTGCCTATCTCTTTCCCTATCCTCGCGTCGTTGTTCCTCAGCTCTAAGTCGATCCTCCCGTCTCTGCTCTTTTCTAAGTCTCTATGAATCTGCCTCCATTTTCATTCTTTTTTCTTCGAATTCAAAATATGATCTTTCTTGTTCTCTTTGATAATTTATAAAGCTGGTTGTTGTCTCATTCAGAACACGTTGAATTATATCCTCTCTGTTTCTTTTTTTCTTTTCTGGTCCTGTAAGTAAATAAAATAACTCTTTAATGTTTAAATAAATGAACAATGATTGACAATTCGGGCCTCGAAATATCCCTTCAGTAACTAACCTGTCACTCTTAATTATCCAAAAACAACCACAATATTTACCATGGTGCCGTTACACATGTACTTCTGTGTAGATACTTCAAAATGCTATAGATGAAAACTTGTGTGGATGGTGTGTTAAAGTTCTTATACAATAATTGGGCGTGGTTCTGTCCCTGGAGGTCAGGCATGTACCAAAAATAACCATATTGTAAAGGAATAATGAAATAAATGTGACATCATAATGAGTAGGCCTATTGTGGTCTGGAGTCAATTTCCTGAACATTAGTAAATTTAGTCCACCTACTTACTACCTGTCAGACCTGTCAGAGAACATTTCAAGTCCTGCATTTTATTTCCATATAGGTATACACCTTATTAAGTCACTCTTCTGTTTTGTTTTACCTATTCATGGCTACACTATTTTGAATCCGATCTTATTATGTATTAAAATCATAAACAAAATTCTTTAGGTAAATAATAGCTATATAAAGTAATTAAGGGCGTTGTCACAGGTATGACTTTTTTGAACACCTATAATTTCTAATTTGATTGGGGGGATCACGTGGCTAAGTGGGTAAGACGCTGGCTCGCTAGCCTGGAGGTCGGGTGTTCGATCCCTGCATTGGCCGAGAAAGTTCATCTCGAATTTCCGACGTGGTTTCCCTTTGTCAGTGATGCAGAACGGAGGGCCTGACAAGGACAGCTGCCTAGTCATTCGGATGGGACGAAAAACTGAGGTCCAGTGTACACATTGGCGTGCACTTAAAAGATCCCTTGGCAGTTGGAATTCGATATAAGAGTAGGCAAAATTTCCCTCATAGCACACTGTATGGCATATGCCCGTCTTCAATTAGCCCAGGTTAGGTGCAGAAGAGTAGGACGTTAAACCCCATTTCATTTCATTTTCTAATTTGATTGGGATACAAAATCAAATGTTCCGTGTACTTTATAACCAGTAAACATACCATTTGTCCTGCACAACACTCATCTATACGTACAGCTAGTTTTCAGTGGGATGTTATTCTAGCATTTTTTAAAATTTATATTGAATCACAGAAGGAATTAGTGACCGGTTTACCACGTTCTTAGACAGAAAGCAGCTCCAGTGTTGTACTCTTTTCAAATATTGATAACCATTTAGAATAAATAGCAACTGAACCTTTTTTTTCTGGCTGCTTACGGAGGACGGTTTCTGTAGGCTCATTTTCTTCATTTTCCAAATTGACTCTTGTTGGTTCCTCATCATTATCATCATCATCAAAATCATCCAAATCTTGTGTTTCTATAAAAAAAAAAGAAAAAATACCATTATATAATTTCCATAAGTTTTGATTTTAAAACACTAATTCTCCAATGGCTATTATGCAAAAAAATTTGATTTAATTTGTTTTGTGTGTATATGTGAGTTTGATCCCATGTTTGTAGGCTTATATTGCCTGCCAACTATCGCATCGATTTAGTCTTGCTCCTGACAATATAATAACAATAACATGTTCGCTTACCTGAATTAATACTTGTCTCCAGAATATGTGTTGGACGGGTAGCGGGTCTGGTTCCTAATATTTTATCCATAGCGTCAAAAAACTTGCTAGTTTTCTTGCCACTCCCACTTTTATTGTTGTGGTCCTTTATTTTTTTTATAAGAATGCTTCATATTCTTTATGCGATTCTTGCAGGCGTCTGCAGATTTTCTGTACCCATTTTCCTGATAGATAGAAAATATAAAATAAATTTACTACTAGAATATGAGAAAACCGGGATTTATGAAAAATGCTTACGCTGTTATAAATAGTATTACTAAAAGAGAACTAAATTTTATTAACTTGTAATATACACAACTAAAAACAATTGTTTATGTAACTGTAACTCGTGGCTTACTGTACTCCAAACAATAGAGGGTATGAGTCTTCAGATTTCTATTTAATTGCCTAACTATAGACACTCTGAATTTAAATTCGCTGTTAAATTGGACACATTCAAGAACACACTATTTTTTATACAACTTTTACAAAGTACGAATGGGTGCCCAAATTTTCCCAGCATTTGGTGCCCAAAATGGGGGGCGCCCCCCCCCCCCCCAGGTCGTACGCCTATGGACAAACAATGATAACTTGGCTGAGAATGAAGTAAATCAAGGGGTTTCCACATTTTGCTCCATCTGTCTAAGATACAAGAATTAACATTGTGAATGGGGAAATCTTTAGTGGTCTGTGACCAAATAAATGAAACTAGATTTGCCATGGCTAGATCTTATTCTTAAGGTCAACTCAATTCTCGTGGATGTCGCTGAGATGTAATAAGTAGAGCGTGTGATTGTTGGTTAGGGTTAGATTAAGTATTAGGGCTAGGTCCAGGGTAAGGGTTAGGGTTGAGATTAGCGTTAACCCTGTTTACATCTCGTGACCTTTTGCCAAACTTGAAGTTGTCCTTATTAATTAGATTTAACCCTTTGTGCCTATCTTCCTATAAATTTTACTCGAAACGAAATATAATTTTATATACTTAATGTTGCAGTGTTTTCGGCAATATGTCCTTCCGGCACATTTAACCAAATGTGAATATTTTTGGGCATGGTAGGCCAACATTAGATAACTACAATGACTTAATATTGAAAATAACTGAAAAATAGATAAATTTCGTTTCGTGTGAAATTCTGTGTTTCAAATTTGAATTTGCTAGAGTTCAAAAGGTCAATTTCTGTTTATCGGTTTGCAGTAGAGTTTTTGGAAATTTCGTTAATAAAAAATCAACAGTAAAAAAATATTTTGAGAAAAAAAATAAATATGATATGTAAGTTTAACGTGTTACTAGTGCAGGTAACTGAAAATTACGAATTTTGCCGTCAGCTGAAAGAAGCAAACCAGTTGTCAACATTTGGCTGCGTCGAGTTGTTTTGTTTAGATTTTGAGCGGATACTAAATCACCGGAATTCACTTTGCAAATATCAAAATTTGACCCCAAGGCCTACCTCTGTACATATATTTTGCATTAATATTAATAATAAATAACTTAAAAACACCGATGATCACCGGAATTTACTTTTAAAAACATATAAACACCGGAATTCACTTTCAAAATATCAGAATTCGCCCGCAATCCCTTCCCTGTTTACATATATTTTGCATAATTAATATTAATAATGAATTTCCTTAAATACACCAAAAATGACTACTACATACGCCTTTTAGATTTAATTTGGCTCTTTGTAAATTTCACATAATTGTTCATTTCGGGACTAACACTTGGTTCAATTATATTTCAATAATTCACATGCACGTATGGATTTTTTGGAGAGGGGGCAGAGGAATCGGCTTACACTACATGAAGATCTGACCAGTTGTACTGGGAGGTCATGTCAGGTGTCATACAAACGGCTTTTGACCCTATGAAAGACATTGATTAATCAATCAGCTTTAACCTTTCTAGGGGTTTACCCACAGTTCCGTGAAGATCACGCCAAGAACTCGCCGTAACAGACCGCTTCATTAGCTAATTTCTCACATCAACTAGAACGCCTGTTACATAACAACTCTTCCAGTGTAGTAAAGAAAAGAAAACAAAATTTTGTACTATTAAAAAACATGAAACGAAATATGATTTATAAAGAGCCGTTAATACCTTCAATGTGCCTACATATTTCTTGTAGCATATAGTCGATCATGACTCGTACTGGCTTTATATAACTTTTGGGAAATATTCCCCCTTATTCTTAGTTTGTTTTTTAAACGCCTACATTAAAATGTGGTCATATATTCAATTGTGTCACCCCGTCCGTCCGCCCATTCGTCGGTCCGGCGTTCACAATTGCTTATGGACGCTCTAGAGGCCAAAGTAAATATCCGATTGACATTAAATTTATACACATTGTTTAAGGTCATGAGACAAAGAAGCCTATTGATTTTCAGCAATTTCTGATAATTATTGCCAGAGTTATGGCCCTTTATCACTTCAAAATATCTTGTAGATGCTCTAGAAGCTAAAGATGATATCGGATTGACTTCAAATTTACGCGCATTATTTGAGGTCATGAGATGAAGAATCCTATTGATTTTCAACATTTCTGATAATTACTACCAAAGTTATGACCCTTGATCACTTTGAAAAATCTTGTGACTGTCTAGAGGCTTAAGTTATCATCGGATTGGCTTCAGTTTAAGGTCTTGAGATGAACAAGTATATTGATTTTCAATGAATTTTGATAACTTGAACAGCTAAATCCATGATATTAAATGTTTCGTATACTAAACGTTAGCATGGGGCAGAACTTCATTCAAACCAAACAAATTTTAATGATTTTCTAATAATTAATTGATGAGTTGTTACTCTTAATCGGATATTAGTGTATTATAATTGTTTCATTACTAAAAAAAGTAAAAATATGTGACTGCCCGGATGATTTAGCTGCTGTGGGCGTATCTTTCGTTGCCTGGTAACCTATCTTTTTCATTTTGAGTAAATCTGTTGTCTGCATCACTACAGTCCAGGGACTGTACAGGGGAGCTGGATGGCCGAACAGTTAATGTGTGCGTGTTGTATCATAAGGTCTGTCATTGAGTCAACTGGCGTGGTTTCGAGTCCCCAGTTGTACGTGACAAGGAGTAGGGTCGCTCGCCAACCTCGTGGGTTTTCTCCGGGTCCTCAGATTTCCTCCCACTACTAAAGACCCCTACGCGCAAGCGAATTATTGACATAAAATTAAACCATATATGTTTGTCCCGAAATTACCTAGTTTGTGTCGAGTGGATGTTAAACCTCATTTCTCTCTCTCTCTGTCTCTCTCTCATTTATATTATGAGATAAAAAAGTTCATTGTTGGTGGCACAGAGATAAACTGTTCTAATGATTACCATGGGAACTGCCAGATCCAAGTTATAAACCATAAAACTACACTGTTTTTTAATTTTAAATGTAAATATGTTTAGATGATTTATATAGAGGGGGTGGGTGGAGCTGTATTTTAAGGCCCTTCTGACTTGGGGAAAGCCCCACATTAATGGTTAGATTTTCGAAAAATACATTTTCCATGCATGGAACAATATTTCTGGTAAGTTGCAGCCATTTAACTGATGACCATATAAAAAGTCCCATTTTTAGGGCGTGGCCAGGTGGGCTTTAGGACCATCTGACTTGAGGAAAGCCCCAACATTTTTGGTTAGATTTTTGAAAAATTTGTTTTCCAAGTATGGATCTTTGTTTCCAGTAAGTTTCAGCCATGTAACTTGTGACCATATAAAAAGCCCCATTTTTAGGGTGTGGTCGGACATACTTTAGAGCGATCTGTCTTGGGGAAAGCCCCCAAATTTTTGGTTAGATTTTTGAAAATTGTTTTTACCAAGTGTGGATCTTTGTTTCTGGTAAGTTTCAGCCATGTAACTGATGACCATATTATTAGCCCCACGAGGCGATATTGGGTGTGGTCTGACTTGGGGAAAGCCCCGGAAATTTTGGTTAGATTTGTGAAATATTTACTCCGACTATGGATACCATTGTCCCTACAAAGTTTCAGCCATGTAACTTATGACTTAATTTTAGGCCTACTTTAAGGTGCTGCTGCGGCTATACGCCCCACCAGTGCCCGATCTGACCAACTGATTTTTACTCGTACGGACACCTGCTACGAATTTGGGTGTTCAAACCTTTTGTAACTGATGACCATATTATTTTGTCATTAGCTCCTGGACTATAAGGCACCTGTCACTGACAATATCAGGCACCGATTCAGGCTTTGTCAGACACTAAACCTCTGATGCCTGTCATTTTGTCTGGCACTGATTTGTCTTTTTTATTGATATTATTAATACATGTCCGGCGCTAAGTTGAAAATGTCAGGTACATGTACTCTTTCATTAGTGCCTAACATTTTGTCAGGTACACGTAAAACCGTTATTTCCAGGCAGGCCTGTGTACATTTGTTGTAAATTGGGATTTCTGTGTCTTGTGTGTGGTGCAGTAGCAGATATTGGACAAGACCAGTCGATTTACACTGGCCGAGAAAGTTCACATGGATTTTCCACAGGGTTCCCCCTAGTCACTGGTGCAGAATGGGGATGGGGAGCCTATAAAAGAACACTTGTCAGTTTGATTCCAAATCAGAGTAGGCCGCTGTCCGGACATAATTTCCTGCATAGCACACCGTATGACATATGCCCATTTTAATTAGCCCAGTCGGAACAGAACAGTAGGACATTAATCTTGATTTCATTTCAAACATTTAGAAATATTTTTTCTCTATTTCAGATAAAACAAATTGAACAAGTTTGATCAGGAAAAACAATGAAATGAAATGGGGTTTAACGTGCTACTGTTTTGCTCCTTAACTGAGCTAATGAAGACGGGCATACGTCATACAGTGTGATATGAGGGAAATTGTGCCCAGACAGCGGCGCTACAGCCTACTCTTATATTGAATTCCAACTGCCAGGGGATCTTTTACGTGCACGTCAATTTGTACACGGCACCTCGGTTTTTCGTCCCATCCGAACGACTAGACAGCTGTCCTTGTCAGCACTCCCCCCCCCCCCACCCGTCCTGCGCCACTGACAAGGGGAAACCACGCCGGAAAATCTGGATGAACGTTCTCGGCCAATGCAGGGGTGGTGAAGTTCAAGGTAGACAAGTGAAATGATATGAAATAAGGTTTAACGTCCTACTGTTCTGCACCGACTGGGATAATGAAGATGGGGATATACGACAAACAGTGTGTTA